GGGGGTGAGTGGGCGTGGCGCATTGGAACCCTCTAAATACTCAACTGTATATACTCTCTAAACATTCGAAATTGCAGCAAGAGCGGTGGGGGCGGTGTGGAACCTTGTAAATATACTCTTCAAGTACTTTCTAAACATAAGAAATTGCAGCAACGGCGGTGGGGGNNAGCAACGGCGGTGGGGGCGGTGTGGGGGAGGGGTGGATGGGCACGCGTTGGAACCCTCTAAAGACTCTTTAAATAATCCCTACACTGGAAATTGCAGCAAGGGGTGGGGGGGGTGGGGTGGGCGGGGGTGGGGTGGGCACGCATTCGATGGGGGTAGGGAGGGCGGGGGCATTGGAAACCTCTAAATGAGCGGAGGCACGCATTGGAACCCTCTAGGGGGGCGGCGGGTGTTAAGAACACCTCCCGCAAGAAGGAAACACCTCTCGGGATATCACTGGCGCCGCCCTGCAAGGGGGTCGGCGGATACACACACACACACACACATATATATATATAATATATACATACACACACGCGCACGTATGCACACACTCTTCTTTGCCAGGCCGAAGGGCCCTCAGCCGCAGCTGTCGCTGCGGCTGCGGCTGTGGCCAAGGGGGGCAAGGCCAGGCCCTTGGAGCTGTTCGTGACTTGTTGTTGTTGTTGTTGTTGTTGTTGTTGTGTTTTTGGGGCTTAGTGGCTTAGTTTTAGGGCCGTGAACCTGTCAGGGCTGTGTTTGTATCTAGTTCGAGTGTTGTGTGCGTGTGTCTTTGAGGGTTGAAGCGGTCCTTCGCAGTGATTGAAGGAGGATGTTCATGTTTCATGGGGTCCTCTGAGGATGTAAGGATGTTGTGATTGGGATCCTGCGGATCTACATGAAGGTCCCCCACGGCCACGCATTCCGACGAGTTTTGCATGTGCAGACGTGTGTATATATGTATATATATATATATGTATACCTAGGTATGTATGTATGTATGTATGTATGTATGTATGTATGTATGTATTTATGTATGTATGTATGTATGTATGTATGTATGTATGTATGTGTGTGTGTATGTATGTATGTATATGTGTGCATATGTATATGCAGGAACTTATTGGTTTATAGATCATAGGGAGAGTTTTTGTCTGTGCATTTTATGGGTGCCCGGTTTTTTCCTAACGTTGGCACTTGTCTGGGGCCCTTGGTAGGGTTGGCCTAGGGTGCAGGTCTTCTGGTCCTGTGGTGACCTGGTGTTCTGGTGTCCTGGTCCTCTGGTCTCCGGTAGCCTGGTGGTGGTCCTGCGGGTCCCCAACCCCTTCCGGTCTCTTTTTTAGCCTTGCCGCGGATCGCCCGGGTCGCGGGCCACAGGCTGCAGCCCGCGAAAAGCATATGATGAACCGAAATCGCCAAATGAGGGGGTCTGCTTAAGATTTATATATGATGAGGGGCGTGCTTAAGCTATGTGATGAACCTCGGTCGCCACATGAGAGGGCGGGGCATGTTTAGGATATATGATGAACCTGAACCGCCCAATAGGGGGAGGGGTGGTGTGTTTAAAATATATGATGAACCGGAATCGCCACATGAGGGGCATGTTTAAGATATATTATGATGGGCCGGAATCGCCACATGAAAGGGCGTGTTTAAGAAATATGATGAACCGGAATCGCCAAATGAGGGGCATGCTTAAGAGCTGGAATCGACAAGTGATGTGGCGTGTTTAAAATATATGCTCAACAGCAACAGCAACAGCAACACAATCTATCTGGAGTGTCTGTTAAAGACGCGTGTGGGTGTGTCTGTGTGTGTGTGTTGTTAGCCCCCACCCCCGCCCAGCTTGCTGAAGCCGTGCAAGTCCGCACATGCCACCAGAAATAGCACGCATATGGATCCTTTCAGAACCCCTGATACAGAAATTGCGGTTGCAAATGGAGGGGGCCACTCTCTTTTCAACAACAACAACAACAACAACAACAACAACAACAACACCAGCAGCAACAACAACAACAACGACGACAACGACACCGACAACGACAAGGACAACAACAACAACAAC